ACGGTGAAGGCAGGTTCACCCTGGACAGGTCACCAGTCTATCACAGGGCTACACTTAGAGACAGACAACCAAGCACACTCACATTCACACCTACGGACAATTTAGAATCACCAATTAACCTCAACATGTTTTTGGACTGTGGGAGGAAGCCGGAGAACCCGACACAACATAATTCTAAATGGCCGAAGGTGTTACCGATACTGAAACAAAAATGACTCTACATACTATAGTTGCTTTACTCCTTATGTTTTCAATTGGTTAACATTTTGTCTTCTCTCTGGTCTGTGGAAACGCAGCCTGCACTTCAGCCAAAAAGCTGCTGAACTTTATTCTTGTAACTGTTGACTGCAGTTGAGTTATGAATACCATCTCTGTTATGTCATACAGAGTGCAGAAGTTTTCATTTTTTACAGAATCTGGTGCAAATAGTTTAGTTTTCAGTGGATTCTTTTCAGTTTTTACAGTTCCTGACTCTGATAAATGGCTGGTTGGTTTTGGAGTTCAGAGGGTCTTAATCCACATGTTGATCTGGAAAATGCACAACATCATACATAAACCTGTGTGTCCGCCGACAGGTCTGGAGCCGAGGATCCTGACCAGATGGGACATGCAGAAGTACGCCCGGGACGCTTACGACGCTGGCGTTCGTTACATCGGTGGCTGCTGTGGATTTGAACCGTATCACATTCGTGCCCTGGCTGAGGAGCTGCAACGTGAGCGGGGTTTTCTGCCTGCAGGCTCTGAGAAGCATGGCACCTGGGGCAGCGGCCTAGAGATGCACACGAAGCCTTGGGTCAGAGCTCGGTAAGTATTCCTCTTTCTCACCATTTTATCAAAACAAGTCAAGTCTGAGGTCATTGCGTCTGAACCCAATGACCTGCTGGCAGGTTTGAAAAGCATGTTAACTTAAAAAAAAAAATACACTAATGACAAAGAGATATCCTGTTATATCATCTTTTAAATGTTTTTTACAGTTTCAACAGTCCTTTGACTAATTATCTGTGATGTGCCGGTTTGTCTAAAAACTTGGCAGAACTCAAGCTAAACTATTAAGTGGTATTTTATCAAAATCAGTCAATTCTATGCATCTTATTGAAAATTTTGCCAAAAAATAAACCCTCGACAACAGGGGTTGGCAATCCTGGTCCTCGAGGGCCACAATCCTGCATGTTTTAGATGCTTCCCTCTTCCAACACACCCAATTCAAATGATCAGCTCATCATCAAGCTCTGCAGAAGCCTGATAATGATCCTGATTATTTGAATCAGGTGTGTTGGAAGAGAGAAACATCTAAAACATGCAGGATTATGGCCCTCGAGGACCAGGATTGGACACCCTTGCTCTACTATAACTAGATTCTGTTAATGTTGTTCTTCTCTGACAACTGTGAAGCTATTAATGGCTCAGCTGTGATAAATGGTCACAAGACAAATTCTGGCACTTTTTGGCTGAACTGCAGGCAGTGTTTACATAGAGCAAAAAAGAGACAAGTGTGGAAACAAAACAAAAAAGACTTCACAAATTCAACTTTAGCTCTCTTTTTTTATGGTTATATGGCACAACAGACATTTTGAAGGTACTTCTAGCCATAGCTGTGCTGTTTCCATAGAGTTGCAGGACTTTTTTTATTGCAGTAAAAAATGAGCTGGAGCAGAAAACACCCAGACAGTTCTCAGGGTTCAGAGGGTCAAAGAAGAAAAACTAAACTTATTCCTCTGTTTAGGGCTCGTCGTGACTACTGGGAGAAGCTGAAGCCTGCGTCCGGCCGCCCCTACTGCCCCGCCATGGCCGTGCCTGACGGCTGGGGCGTCACCAAAGGCCACGCTGACCTGATGCAACAGAAGGAGGCCACCTCCAAGGACCAGCTCAAGGCTCTCTTTGACAAGGCCAACCAAGGCCACTGAGCTGCCCCCCGCGAGACCTCTGTAAAGAGGAGAAAGCAGGGGTGGCGTGTGAGAAGGCATACTCACACATTCCCTTACGTTTACGTACCAAAAAAGATCGAAATGCTGAAGTTCTTTCTGTCTTTTTAGGACCATTTCTTGCGCCTTGTGGAAGGATGCTGACCTTTCAAATTAGCTTTCCAGAACTAACCAGCAACGAGTGTTTGTTTTTTAGTGAGCTTGTCATGTGTAAACCTTGTGAAATGACTGAGACGGCAAAGGAGCAGCTGTGAACCCCCCCAAGTAGTGCCATTAATACTCCAAAAGTGCCTGATGCTTTGTGTAGCAATAAATAAAAACATAAAACTGATTATTGAACAAAATGGGCAAGTGTTTTCTTTCTTTCTTTCTTTCTTTGACTTGTAATAGATTTTACCAAGAACACAGACAATAATATATATTTTTAAATGTGTGTATATATATATATATTTAAGCATTTGCCTTGGTGTGGGGAAAAACACAGAAAGCAAGCATTTCAGCCCACAGTGTTTCTTTTTTATATCTAATTCCCCATAATATATAGAAGACAAATGGTAGCAGTTGTTTGACCACATCTGCTGCCATCTAGTGGACAAGACGAACAATTTTAGTATTTTTTTGTTTTTTTTAAAACCGGGTTTCTGTTTGACATCATGCAGACAATTTAACTGATGAGGTGCTTATAAGTGTATCAGCCCTTCACTACAGCACTCTGTGTGTGTACGACAACATCTACCATTTGTTTCAATGTAAGATAAGTTGTGTATTAATGAAAAATATTAATTGTATCATACAAAATGATTAATTTACAAGCTACAAATGTGGCAAAGCTCATGTAACAAAAGTATTTTTAAACCCTTCTGAGTTGAACAAGTAAAGCCAAATGTGAACTGTCAAGTCAGTTTAGTAGATTATTACTCAGATGTACAGATGAGTGACAATTTAAACAAAACCCTGAACGCTGGAGCCCTACAGTGAGGGGATGTGGGGGTAGATTTTCTGAAATGGTTTGGCTTCACTTATCCCCTCAGATGGAAGCATCACTGCAAATCAATATAAAGTTGTTCTGAGTGGTTGAAACAACACTGAACTCCAATGACACCATCTACGGGGCATTTAAGGTCACTGGATGGTTGAATCATATGCTGTGGCCTTCAGTCACCAGATCTCGACACTTGTGAGAGATTTTGGCCTGACATGTGAGACAGCGTGTTCTCCACCACCATCATCAAACCACCTAATGAGGAAATGTTTTTTTGTAAAATGGTTCGTTCAGTCGAGTTCAGAGACTTGGAGAATCATTACCAAGGAGCACTGAAGCTGCTCTGGTGGCCCACACCTTTACTAAAACACTTTATGTTGGCTTTTCCTCTCATTTGCCACCAGCCTGTAGCTAATTTCCACACAAGAGAACAATCAGTGAGACCTTGACGTCCTTGTGTGGGTGTGTTTTTAACCACTGAGGTCTACAGGGAGTTTTGATTTCCTGTGTTTATTTAGCTGAAGTATTGTGTCGACCCAGTGATGTGGAAATATTAGGATGTGGCTTTACCCCGCTGGCACTGGTTTTTAATAGCTATAATGCACAGCCTTCACCCAGTGAACTATATTTAAATCTCTTCGTCCCAATGTGAAAGCAGGAAGCACTGTTTTTTTTCATATTTTTTGAAAGTCTAAAAAAGAGCTAATTAAGTGTTTCTCTATTTTAGGAGTTCCTATACTTAGTTTTTTAAAAAAATCTTATGATCCAAAACTGAACTGGAGACAAGCTTTTCAGTCGTCACTAGCCTGTTATCAGTAAAAGCAGAAACATTAACAGAAGTGTTACATTTATAGAAGCATTTTAAATGTAATTTTAAAAAAAAAGAACACAATAATAACTATAAAATTACAGATATATCATCAGGATATAATGTCAGGGAGCATAAATAAAGTGCTTTCATTATCTGTAGCTTAAGAAAGACTTTGTTTAATCATCTCCAACGTAATTATGAAATTCATGCTTTAACATTTTACAAAGCTATTTAATTGAAAATTATTAAGAGTAACTCCCTCTGTAAACTACCTTTCTTAATGCTACACTTTGTCGATGAATCTGGCCTCTTTTGCTCTTTATTTGCATTTATTATTAACACAGGTAAGTAGGTTTAAGACTCATTTTGTCCCAGCCTGTTTTTTGTGTTTGTTTGTTTGTTTCTCTATTGTCTTTTCTGCTTTCTTTTAATAGGGAATTGTGTAATAATAAAGAGTAGCTGCCGATGTAAACAGTTAACTGGTACATAACACATTAAAAAGAGACAGAATAGTTTTAGCCAGTATACTTGTACTGTAAGGTATAAAATGTACTATAGTGGATGTGATTATTTCATTTAAAAAAAAAAAAGAATTAAAAAAAACTTTTTTTTTTTTTTTTTGCATCACAGACATTATAGAAACATCCATCCATCCATTATCTATACACCGCTTAATCCTCACTAGGGTCGTGGGAGGCTGGAGCCTATCCCAGCCGACTTAGGGCGAAGGCAGGGGACACCCTGGACAGGCTGATTTCACCTCGACCAATTTCACATCATTCATATATATGATGTAGTATCTGTACCAGTCGTGTGTGACTGTTAAACATGACATCATGTATCACACCTCCTCATATGACTTTGAATGAAAATGTTGGTGTGAACCTTTGATGGTTACAGCATTAAAGAATGTGAGGTTCACACCATTGTGAAGTGTGGAGATTTAATCAGATGAACACCTTGCATTGTGTCACAGCTCACTATATATATATGTCAGAGTCCAAATTAAAATTTGCCCGTGCAAGATTGCCATCTCATTATGATATAAAAAGGATTGTAATTTAGTTTAAGTGAAATCAAAATTTTAGTTCTGGCCAGGCAGATTTAAAATCTGCCAAGACCAAATCAAAATTTCAATCTTGTCTAGACCAAATCAAAATTTTAAGCTCGCCTAGATTTAAGATCTACCTGGATTTTAATTTGGACTGTGACGTATATATTTAACGGTACGTATATGCCAACATCAGATGAGTCTTTTGTTTATGATTGCATACTTTTGGTCCCAATCGACTTGCCGTACAGCCTCCGTCATTACGTCCTGTGCGTGTTTGCGTCATGGATTTGCCCACGTGCAGATGTTTATGCTCCTCGTGCACGTCTGCAAGAGAGCGACAGAGACAAGAGACACAGACAGAAATAAAGAAAACACAAAGAGACTGAAGGATAATGAACAAATATATTATATCGACTATTTATAATCATTAAAGGAGGAAACTAAACTATGTGTATCAGTGTTCTGTCTCTGTGTTTTGGTTTAATAGGCTCCCAGTGACAAGGGAATGTTATGGTGCCTTCAGGGTTTATGGGAACAAAATGTGTCTTCAATTTCAAAGGTGCAACTTGGATACGAGTACTTACATCCCATGAAGACATTTCTGTCTCTTACATTTTATTTGATTAAAGATATGGGAGAACCAGAATTATTTTTTTTATTAACTTTAATTATTATTATTGTCATTGTTATTATTATATTTTTTAAGATAAATTACCCTTAGGTTAGCAGAGGTGTTTCACATCCTAACTTGAAAAGTTTATTGTTAAACAAGATATTTTCACATTATTCCAACATACAAACTTATAACAACACATTTTCCTCTTTGTCACGATATCCTATTTATCTTGTCACAGCATGAAATATTTAACACCACCCAATGTATCTTCAAATCCTTCTTTGTGTATGCGTAGATATCATAACAGCAAGAAGTAACAACATGAAGTAATTGATCAAATTGTGCACATGAGTCATATTCAATAAATAGTATGTCATTATAGCAAGAAAAGTCTTTTCATAACGGGACAGGTTGGTGTGTCGTTATAATGTGAAGGTATCCAGCTGTTATGTTTTTGGGCGGAGGTTTTGTTTTTCTCAGTCCGCAGGAAGATAAAGAATTCAGGCACCAAGGCACAATTTAAAATATAATAGATTGTAATTCAATAAGGCTTTCGGGAATTTTGTATTGATTTCAAATATTTACTCTCCTGCAGAGCAAATTTTCTTATTCATTATAATCCCTGCTGAGTCAACAAATACACAGCTTTAAAAAAAATAAAAATAAAAATCTCTGTTTCTTTTATTTTCAACTGAGGTGGATGAATGTGTGAGCTCTAAATACTGAGGGGGACACAGCCGGTGTCACGCCAGAAATCTAAAACTATGAATGCTTTTTTTGTTGTTGTTGTTGTAACATGAATACATTTTGTTATAATGTGAAAAACATTTTGCATGAAAATAAACTTTATATGTGACAACATGATACTGATTCTTTATTCTTTTTGTGATGGGGAAGCAATATGCTTCTTGCTTGATATCAATAATAATAATATGTTTATCTATGTATAGCCTTTCAAAAACAAGGCTTTACAAAGTGCTTTGACAGACAACACAAAACCAGCATACCCAACTGGCAAAATAACAACAAGTAAGATTAAAAAACAACACAAAACAAAACTAATTAAAGGCATAGATGCAAAAGCAACATAAAAATAAAGTTCTATTCTATTCTATTCTATTCTAAAATCCTAACAGTCCAGTCAACGTTAATTACATATTGCACATTTCAAACAACAGCTGCTGAGTCAAGGTGCCGCAGATTTACCTGAGAAGTTTAAATACTATAGTAAGGACCCCACAATGTGTATATAAAATACTAATTTATCTAGATGACTTTCATATTAAGGTCACAGCCCTACAATATTATGCGCTCTCACAGATTACCTGAGCAATTTAGATGATTAATTAAGATTAAGACTCTACAAAATTATACATGGAAATCTCAAGGGATCCAAAGAGTCCCTATGAGCAAGTGTATTGGCTACAGTGGAGAGAAACATGTTCTTTTTGACAGCAGGAGACGTCCGGTAGAACCAGGCTCAGGAAGAGCAGACATCTGCCTTGACCTGTTGGGGTGTGGGTAGGAAAGGATCCCAGAGAGAGACAGACAGATAGCAAATAAGAGAACACTGGACCAGTAGCTGCAGATCAGACCTGTGCCGCTCCAGAGCAGTCAATACCTGCAGAGAGGACAAAACACAAAGCAAGAAGCTGAATCTCTTTGTTAACCAGCACAGTACGGACGTTTTCTCTAAGCATCGGACGTACAGTTTTCCTGCTGGAACCTGAAGGCAGCATGTGCACGGTGCAGCAGTTAAATCCCTCCCCGGATCTGACAGGCACGCACGCACCTTGTGCTTGTAAACACAAGCTCACACGTGACACCGAGAGCCGAGCCGCGTCGCGCGACGGCATTGTCTGAGATCGGACAAAGAGCCACACGGTGAGAGCGCGAGCAGCGGCCAGGTAAACGGCCAGGTGTCATGGCAACCGACGGTTTCTGCCGCAGTACGAACCCGACTTTTAACCTCCGGTCACCCCGCGGTGTCCGAGCCAGTCCGGCCGCCTGAACTTCTTCATGTCCGTTCGGAGGGACGACGACGGTTGCTGCGTTTTCGGCCGCTCGCTCGCAGCTGGCGGCGGCTTAGCGACGCACGAGAGTCTTTGTTTGTAAATTTATCCGCGCGGTGTTTTCGCCGCCGCTGCTGCGCCAAATCTCACTTTTTATTAGCTGCTGTTAGCGGCTGTTAGCTTGCAGCACCGTTTAGCCTCGAGGCTAACGTTAACCTACGTGTCGTGTTTACTGGCTGGATGCGATGTCTTTCACCATGGAGGACAACCTGGAGTCCGGCTGGGTGTCCGTCCGGCCCAGAGTCTTCGACGAAAAAGAGAGACACAAATTCGTTTTCATCGTGGCCTGGAACGACATCGAGGGAAAGTTCGCCATAACCTGCCACAACAGAACCGTGCAGAGACGGAGCACCGTTCTGGACCTCGATTGTAGCCCCGCCGCGGGGCTTCCTGCCCCCGAAAAACACACGAAAAGTACCCTCACGACGCCGAAAGATGAAGTCTGCCAGGCGGGTAAAGTTAGACCGCACTCAGTCCCCAAAGGAAAAACCACAACAAATACTCAGAAGGCTGCGAAAGTCGGCGGTTCTAAGACATTTGAGTGCGTCAGTCCCACTCTGGGGTCCTGGGATATTGTGACACCCAAGATAGTTGAAATGGAGATCCTGGACCCGGTGGATGTCCTGCTGTCTCCGGATGACCCGGGAGACGGTGAGGGCAGCGGCCGGGAGGACTTCAGCTGGGCCGGGCTGTTCTCTTTCCAGGACCTGCGGGCTGCCCACCTCCAGCTGTGCGCCGTCAACTCGGACCTGGAGCCGTGTTTACCCTCGTTCCCGGAGGAGCAGTCCGGCATGTGGACGGTGATCTTCGGGGCCCCCGGGGTGTCTCAGCGGGAGACGGAGGCCCTGTGCTACCAGCTGCAGGTGTACCTGGGTCATGCCCTGGACACCTGCGGCTGGAAGATCCTCTCACAGGTGCTTTTCTCCGAGAGCGACGACACCGAGGAGTACTACGAGAGCCTGAGTGAGCTGAGGCAGAAGGGCTACGAGGATGCTCTGGAGAGGGCCAAGAGACGCATGCAAGAGGTGAATAACTGCTTTTGTTGTTTTGAAGAGAATATGTTTGTTAAGCGAAGGAGAATACAGGACTCTGAAGTCAGCTTGTGATTTGGCATTTAAGGGAAAAGTTCAGGGAAACTGAACCTACAGCGATCGTTTCTTTGTTTCTTTCCTGCATTTTAATCATGTGGAAACGTGTTAGACGTTTTAGGTAAATCCTTAATACTGTCTGAAACTCACCCTCAAATTTGTGACAGCTTTGTTCTATTGATGAAAATGTGTAAAAAATAGATTTCACTGCAGATGTTGCATATAGGTCACATTAGACCAGGGCAAGATCTAAAACTACTGGATTGAAGTGAGTCTAATCTGTACTAGATCCTCCTACAGATGTTCAAAACTCTTTAAACCACTGTTTCAACTTGATGAAACCTTTATTCTATTTATGAAAATGACAAAAAAAGGAGATTTTAGAACATTAGAACGCTTCCACATCTAAAACTACTATATAATCTGGTCAAATGTGGACTAGATTATGCCAGAGATGCTGGAGAGTCTTTAAAACACAGTTTCTGGTCTGTGTAACCTTTATTCCATTTGCGAAATGTAAAAAATTTAGATTATATATCGGGGTCTTAGATGTGGACCTGGTCTAATGTGGTCTACATGCAACAAAAGCCGTGAAATCTCAACGTTTTGCACTTGCACGAATAAAAAAAAAAGCTTTCACAAATGAGTTTCAGACATTACTAAGCGTTTAGCCATGATGTCTTAGACAGTTTTAAACAATTACAATGTGGGGGGAAAAAACTGAATCGGTCATTAGTGCTGTAAGTTAAGTTAGCCCTAACTGTGACTCAGAAGCTGACTTAAATGTCGTGCAGGTTATGAAGCTCTTGGTAGTTGATGTTGTGAGTGTACAAAAGCACATAAACTCTATAATGTCGGCCTTACATTACATGGGAAGGCTGTTTTTTGGAGACACAGGGCAACCGCAGACTAGTGAATGTAGTTTTCAGCGCAAAATTGTGCCCCATGCTCGGCTTATTCTCCTCCTCTTCCTTTGTCCCCCCCTGTGATCTACCATCTGTTGCTGCATGTTCACAGGCCAGTAATATGATCTGGTCTGGCTAGACATCACACTCCAGTTGGCTGAATGGTTTGAAGGGAGTTACATAGGAGAACAAATAGAGGTGGAGTTACAGAAATGATGTGTCACCACAGCTGCTGAGATGGTTTAATTGTTATCGTAGACAGCTGAAAGTGTATATTTAGCTCAGGGAGCATGTGAGAAGCTGGTATATTTTTAATTGTGTCTGTAACATGTGCCAAATATTTACTGGGGGATTTGGCAAATCCGACTACGACACCGCTTATGTGAACTCCTAATAAAAGTGTGATCATGATTATAGACACTTTCTACGTTTAAGAGGGGACAAAGCCTCAGGCAGAATCTTTCACCTCTTCGGTTGCTTTGTTCAACTGATTGACGCACAAAAGCTCAAAAACAGCTGGCTAAGGGCTTGGCCCAACCAGGAAGAAATAATTTAATGACAGTATGTCTCGTTTGTTTAGCACACATCTTTGGAGGAGACGGTGATGAATCTGATGCACCTGGTTTTATTAACATGGCATTAATCATCACATTCAATAGACAAGGCTTGATCTGGTTTATAAAATCGAGTTGGACTGCAGCGCTTACCTTTAGTATCTATTAACCTGAGGATCATATTCTCAATGAATCAACCATTTTTTTTATCCATAGAAAGTCAGAAAATACTGCAAATGCCTGTTATAATTTCTCACAGTCCAGACTGACAATCGCAGATGTCTTGTTTTGTCCAACTAGTAGTTTAACACCCAAATATATTTAGTTTACTTTCGTCTGCGTTAAAGAAAAACAATCTCATCTTTACAGATTTGCAGATTCTCTTTATGAACTGTTGCAAGTAAAAAAAATACGTAAAAATTTGGATGATAAGGAAAGTCAGGTCATGTGTCCCTAAAATGGCCTAAAAGATGGACTGTAGATGAGCTGAATTACTTAATCAGTTATTTGATTGGTTAGTTATTTTATATATTTGTTTCTTGTATATTTTTTAAGACGCTAATGTCATTTTTATAATATGTTTTCTTTTTTTGTCAACAGAACATGAATCATGACAATTAGTCATTTAAAGATGACTAATTTTTTTTTTTTTTACTAAAGCAGACATTCTGTTTACATTCAGTCGTACCCACCAGAAGTTATTCTGCGTGACTTTGAGGTCTAACAAATGTGATTAATGAATTTCCTTCCTCATTTGCAAAACCGATTTATCAGCCCAGCATTGTTTACATTAGTGTTTACGTTTTGGCGTAGCTGCTTCTTCTCTGCGTGACTCTGGACTGACCTTTCTACCTTTCTGTATATTTTGCTGAGTTGCTGTTTCCTTTACACTTATCAGCCACAACTAAAAAGAAAACCCACTGACAACTGAAGTGAATGACATTGATCGTCTCGTTACAGTGCAGTGTTCTGCTGGAAAACCTTGGTTTCTGGCGTTCACGTGGATGTTACTTTGACATGTACCACTAAAACACAAAGCTGTTTTCCAAGCTTATCATGTCACCCATATCTACAAGGTGAATGAAACAGGGACTCACTACACAACATCATTTTAAAACAACAAATGGCATATATTTCCTAGTTCCAGTTTCTCAAATGATAGATTTGAGGCAGTTTTTATATCATTGTAAATTGAACATTGTTTGGTTGTGGACCACTGAGAACAAAACAGTCACCGTTTGAATCCGACAAAATGGATATGGGCTGTTTTTACTATTTTCTGACTTTTTAAAAAATTGTTATTTTCGAAAAAAATATCTTCAGATTAACTGAAGATGTTTTCATATCTTAGGACATGCAGTTGTGTGTGAAATACGCTTCTTAGATTCTGCTTCTTGGATACATAGAAGAAGATCATATATGCAATCTAACTCAAAGCTACAGCCTCCAAAGTTATATCACTACTTTGAGACAGTATCAACAACAACAGAGGGGATATTTACTCTATTATATTGGATTGCATGTGTTTCCATAGTCCTGGTGACTAAGTCTATTCTTAGTAAACCTTGACTGTAGGCAGTATAATAAACAGAGTGGTGGCTTGGTCCTAACCTTAAATGCTCTAGTATAGGTTTAATGGTGTGTTGAGATAAGTAGAGAAAGAGACAGTGTTTTCCCTGCATTAAAGAACAATTGGAATTTACCTTTATGACATTTCATCATCAGTGAATAACCTCTCCTGCTTGTTTTGGTTTGTGCAGAGTCGCCGCAAATTGAGAATCAGTGTTGTGCTGTTGTGTCCTTATCACAACTAAACACGAGATACAGCCTCAACCTCCAAACCTCTTTCTCAAAGATAACTGGGCCAAATATGCAGAAGGATTGATTAGTGGTAATAATTGAAGGGTTGTAGAGCATGCATCTGTCAATCATTGACTACAGCCGCTTTTCCATGTTTTCCTTATCTGCACCCTGTTGTTGAACAAAATGAGGCTAACAGCTTGTCTACAGTAAACCTGACACGTTTCAAGCTAATAGTTACATTTGAATGGCTTTGCTGGGCTTTTTGTTGCTGTTCTCGGGTGAGGGTAATGTTCAGCGACTAACAGCTGATGAAACATTAACTAAATTTGTATTGCAGTGAGGATAAACTTCAAAAGCATGATAAAAACAGGCTTCAGCCTTCACATTACAGTGTTTCATATTAAATACAACAACATAAACCTGCAATGTGAAGCCTGCAAATGCATATTAGGACTATATCTAAGTATTTTCATCATAAATTAATCCAATGATTATTTTTTTCAATAATCATTTGTTATATGAAATACTGGCAAGCCCTGAAATTTCCCCAAACTCACATAGTAATAGAGGACCAAGAAAACCAGCAGATATTTGCATTTGAGAAGCTGGAAACAGAATTTTTTTTACATTTTAAAAAAATAGTATGTTAACTGTTATCAAAACTGTTGCAAATTATTTTACAGTTAAACAGGTCATTTAGGTAACTGATCATTTCACTTCTAGTGTACATGGACTTGTGTTCTTATGCTCTATACATTTTTACAAAAATGGATAATGGGCTGTTTATTTACAAGAAACAATGGTTTCTGGGATGGCAGAAGAACATCAATAGATTTAAAGCACAAAAACGTGGCCTCATATTCCTCTGTGTTTACCACTAAGTTGGTGACTTTGTCTATGAGATGGTGTCGAGTCAGTTTTACTTAAAAGTCCCAATATTCCATATTTGCTTCCATGGAGGTTACCTTCTGTACAGCATACCTCTATTCTTAGACACTTCGGTGGGGTAAATAAAAACTTGCAACAAAGAAAAAAATGAAGGAAACTCAACAGCAGGGTAGGAAGGACCTATTTTCCAGAATGGAAGAATGTGCATTGTTGTATGTCCAGGGTAGAAAAAAAAAACAATACTTAATGTAAACCTGAGCACACACAGAGCAACTTCCAGCTGTCACCAAACACTTGTAGGATCTCGAACATAGATGACAATGTCCATGTGTAACATCAGTTATTGCATGAGACATACATGCTTGGCATTGGTGCCTTTTTACATTCTTAAGAACGTCTGACAATAGGATTCACACTATCATACAAGCTTTTCCTGATTACAGAAAACTTGAGCACAACATCCAGTATCTGTCAGTTTGATTCAGCCATGTGTCAGTGAAACCACACAGATAAAAGCTGCTCTCAGGAGACTGAAAGTCTGGCATAAATATATAAAATGAATTGATTTTCTCTCGTTCCTCCATGAGAGTGACTTCTAAGGCCTCACACGTTGTGTGCTCAGTTTGACTGCTGTATGTTGTGTATGTGCCCACAGTTTGCCTGTCATGGTGAGTTTTCATATTCGCCACAGATACAGCTGTGGGATTAGTCTGCTATACGGTCGCTTAGTGGGACACTTTGTTTACATTACATGATTCATGTTAGCATGACTGGGTATTTGTAGAAT